CGACGATTCCGTTTGTGCGAATTTTTCCGGAAGCTCTAAGCTCGTTCCATCTGTTCGGAACGAGAGAACTCGCAGCTCCGACAGCGAACGGCCTCTCGTCGTCCGTCGGCAGCGAGAAACGCTCGACGTCAAAAGCAAAGCTCAGAGGCAATCATGAGCTTTCGAATGCAAAACAGCAGCTTTCGCCTAGCAGCACTCGGCACTTTTACATTTAAATGTAAACTCGCTGAGTGCGCGCCGCAGAGCCACCCTCGCCATATCCTCCCCCATCTAGCAACGGACCCCATCTCGACCCCCTTCCCGCCCCCTCGCCCTCGCGCCTCTCCTCGTCACTCCTCTGCACATCGTGCACCCCTATCCGCGTACCGTTTCCATCTACCTCCTCTGCCACCTCCTCCTCCCTTTCGAGGACGTAGGCGATATGGCGGAGGCGCCTGGATTTAATATTTTACACCTCAAATGTTGGGCGCGCGCGCGCGCGCACGCCAGCCAGAAATGCAAAACAGCTCGTCGAGTATCCCTCGGGTTGCCCCTCCGTCGCCGTCCATAACGATTCCCTCCCCTTTCGGCTTAGATTGGATTTAAAACGCGCTAATTTGTCGAGCACGACGCGACCCACGCTTTGCACAACCCCCGCTCGCGTGTCTTCGACCGTCGTCCGTGTGACCGTGCTCCTTCTGTAGTCGGAACTGCGTACAGTCGCGCGCCTCTTTGCCACAGGGGTGTGTAGAGGTGTGTGGGCACGGTGGGCCACATCTAAATTTAAAATCTGCTTTGCATAATGCCCGACCTCGTCGTTGCTCGTCGACCCCGGGACCGCCTAATTGCGGCCTCGTTCGAGCCCCGTGTCCCTTCGACACCTACAGCAGCCATTCTCGAAAAACCGGCTCCTTCCGCCCACCACCCCTCGCTCGCTTCCGCCACTTTGAATCGACCGACCAGATAACCGGACACACCGTTCCCCTCCTTCTCTTCCCAGTCATCGATCTACCGTTTCTACCAACATCGATCTTCGTTTCTCCAACACCCTATGTGAATGACACCCTACTACGCATTCCCCGTTCCGCGGACGTCTATATCCCGAGAAAATCGAATAAACGTCACGGAAGATTTCCGCTTTTGATTTTATCGCCGTCGCATACTCGGAGCTGTTAGATCTCTCGATCGACCAATCGATAAGTATCGTACAAGCACGAGAGCACGTAGCCGGGTCATATCTTTCGGCCGATCGCCGATAATTACGAATTACCAATCACGTGGCTAGGTAACAATGTCGCGCTCGATTGATCAACGTGGGGGAACCTCGTCGAGGACGTCGGACGTCGAACGAAGGAACCTCGCTTCCATCCGTTCTTCCTTCCAAGGATAATGGCCGAAGTAATCTAGCTTAACACGGCGATACGGTGTGAAATGAAATATCGCGTATCGGGCCGTAATGGCTGCCCGTACGCGGAGAAAATTCGCGTTTCTCTGCTAAATGTTGCGCGCTTGGCAACAAGCTTGTCTCGAATCAAGGGTTGCAAGTGGAATTTATATACGACGCGAAGATCAAGGTGGCCAAGGATTCGACGAGGATTCCGCACACGTGCGTACAGATTTCCATCCCTCGCCCACTAATACAGTCATCGTGGCGCATTGTCCAGGAAACTTTGTCACGGTGGTCACGGGGTAGATCGCTCTGTATCGTGTTTAATGTAGTATTAAACGCAGCTATTGTGTCCCGTCGTCCATCGTGTTCGTAAATTTATTTCCTCGCTTCCCCGCTGTCCATCCGTCTCTCCTTAGAAAGGAAAAAAGCACGAGCACGTGCCACCCCCGTTAGGACGCAAAGAAATTCGAAAGTAATGCGATTTCGCCCGTCTGTATTCGTTTCTCGGCCAGCACCGGTCATTGGTCCGTGTTCCAAGACTTCTATCCGCAAGGGTCGAAGAGGAGGAAAAAAAATCGTGCCGCGAGACAGGGGTTAGGTATCCTCCTATTCACATGCTAAGACGTTTCGCCGATATTCGCATACGACTCTTGGCAAACAAACTTTTCGGCCACGACACGCGTGATCTCTACTCCGCCCCCTTTTTTTCCCCTTTTTTCCCCCTTCGTCTTGTCCACACTGGTCGAAATTTGCAAATTTGGCACGCAACCGAGTAGGATCTGGAAGGATTATTCGAAGGTCAGATGACGGGACGACGTCCTCACGGGTGATTGATAAAAATGAAATTTCCTACAGCGAGTCGCGAGTCAGATGGAGGGGCAAACGGATAGAGCGTGTATTCGAAAGAGTACATGCCTCTTACCGTCGTTACTGGCAGTTTCCTGCGATAACCCCAGCATTATACTAGTGGCCCCTGAATAACAGGGGAAGAGAATTCACAATGGGCCACAATGACTGAGCCAACATTACGAATTAGGCTCGGTTACGCGTTTATTGCTGATTCCGGTCCAGGACAGCGGCGTCGCAGCGTATTTTCGAATCCGTGCGAGCGGGCGAAGCAGCTAGAAGCTACACGCTCGCAAAAGGACGCCACTGCGGAGATGCGAAGTATTAGCATTGGTTAGCTTTATGGGGCGTTCAGTTCCGCCGTTCTATCATCCTCTCTTTCGCTCTCGCGACGCTCGTCTTTTCCCTCTCTCTTTCCCGTTCTCGTTCGGGAGAGAACGAACGCGGCAGATCAATAAAATCTGTCTGTCTGGAAAAGTAATGCCAAATCGACTGTCCGTTTTTGGCGGCGAACAAATAAATGTGACAAAAGGAGTGGAACGGCTGCGCGCACCGACCATTCCGTCCAGCAGCCAGACGCTTTAAGGTTCGATTTCCTACTAGTTCGAGACGAGCGAATCTATTTGCCAAAACATCGAAAGAAATCGGCTCTAGGACGCGATAGCGAAACAGTGTTCGAAACGAGAGACGGAAGTAAGTTTTACGGTATAAATGGTCTTTACGGAATATTGATCGGGAACGGTGTCTTCTGGAAGGATCGAGGCACCCGACGTTGATGGAAAAATTTGTTTTTTCACGGTTAGGTGACTAGCAAGACCGGAGAGCACGACAAGGGAACCGAAACTGGGACGCAATAATTATTAATCAATTTCGTATTAATTGTTTTCTGGGCGTCGAGCTTAAGTGGGATGTTGTGTTCTGGCTTCTGGCAAGCTCTGCCCCGTAACCAGCCAAAGTGTCATACAAGAAGATTAATTACGTCGCACCACCCTTTATGTACGCCATGCGTGTGACTACCCTCCTCCTTAATCCTTGGACACTCGTAAAAGTATTTCCAGTCGTGCGAAGATATCGAAGAAAAATAGGAAACATCGTGTCATCGTGCCAGGAGATGTTTTCTGGGCAAATGATATTCGACGAATAGTCGGTGTTGTCGTGAATAATTAAAGCGCCGGTTGTTTACGAAATCATCACGCTTATTATTGTCTTTGTCATTTTACAAGTTTCTCTTTATTCAAGACACTCCATCGTTTATTAAGTTTCATAAAAATGACAAGAAACGCAACTTAAAAATGTAACAGCCGCAGGTACGAGTCTAGATTGATTTAACCTCGGATCAGAAGCTCCTCGCTTTTCCGAGTAAGCAGGACTCTTTGGCAGTATCTGCTACTCTTCGCGAAGTTGCTTTTCGTGATTGCACCCCGGTTGGTGGAAAAAAAGGGGTACGCGAAAATAAAAGAGACCCGAGGGAATAAGATTCTGCCGGTACTCCGTTTTCGATCCACGAAAGAGCCAAGTTAGTTTTATTTTACAATCCATCGGCTTCCACGACACGGAGGGGTGAGTTTCGCCGTCTACTGGTACTCCAGTCGAAAGACGAGAGAGAGAGAGAGAGAGAGAGAGAGAGAGAGACGACGGACGGTGGTTGGAATCCTTCTGGATGGTTGGACGAGCGTCGAGGAGGGTGCACGAGTTGCGAGGGGGCGGGACGGCTGTCAACTAGTGTTTTAAAAGTTTGCGACAGCCTACAAATTGGCTCGCTCAGTTCTTTTTAAAAGCACCACCAACCAACCACGTCGTATACCCCACCGTGTCTGTCCTTCATGTTCGCAGCCGTATCGTTGAACGGGAAGCTTTTATATGTGTGTATATATAAAAAAAGGAAAAAAGGGAAAGATAGAAATTGTGAAAAATTCGCAGTGTAAGAGGATATTCTAGGATATCGTGAAAGTTTGGCCCGCTGGTGCGTTACTTTCCGACGAACGCAAATGATCGCCTAGGAACGTGGCGAAACGCCCCAAATAAATCGCTAGAAGGGGGCTTTTTCTATCAGCCATTGTGCGCTCGATCATTATTCTCGAGAGTTTCGCGAAAAGTTCCAACCATTTTCGGACAAATCGACCTCCATCTAGGAGACGCCGGTCCCCGTATAGGGAATATGCTTGCGCGCGATTCAAATCCCGGAAGTTTAAAAGTATTTCGACGTAAAACGTGGCCATTTCTCATATTTTCTATGCAGCCACGCTCCGCCGTGGGCGCATTTGATACACTCTATTAGTCGCATCCCGGGACTGATTTATCGAGTTACCCGCATTATTATACATTTTCCCCGTTACGGGACCGAGATTCATCGTATTCTGGTAGTTTGCCTGCTCTCCGCACATTCCATTAGTCGCGAGTGATCAATGGTTATTATGCGGACTTAAGATTCGAATCTTTTCCAGAAATGGAGTTGCTTTGAGTAAAAACACAACTACGAAAAGAACAAAAATGCTGCCTGTACGAATCTGTTTAAGGAACCAGCTACTTTATAAAAGAAAACTGCAACTTTCGAGTAGTCCTTGATTTTTGCTAACGTTTAAAAAGGGGAAGGGGTCAAAGCTATAAATAAATATGCTAACTTAAAGGCACTTAACTTATCACGCGCAGACAATTTATCTAGATAATTAGCTAGTTCCTTGATCCTTGACCGTGTTCCTAACCCGAAGAACGAACAAAAATAAGTACTAACGTGCAACGCAGACAAGTCCGCGAGTTTAACCTCAAATTTGCCCTTATTGCACGGCTATTTCGGTAAAACCGTCGGTGGTCTCGGTGATTCGAACATCGAGAAATTCTGCGCGAGGAAGGATGGCGACTTTGGTCCGTTACTATTGTTCGGTTGTGTCACTGTTGCTACTTCCGTCAGTGGTTCATCTGTGCAGTCCTGTTGCTGGATCGCCCATTCTCTTCGGGCAGCCTGCACCACTATCCATAAGTACGTGGACAACACTAAATCGAGAAAATGTAAACTTTATTCGTCGTTCGATTTCACGGTTCGATTTCGTATTAAAACAGCAGCAACTGCGAAAATATTCGATGGTCGAACTGTAGTTTGATCATGCATAATATCCGTAACGCATTTGCCTAGGTAATTTTAACGTACTTACGTAGATAGACAGTGGACACTGGAATGTACCACATTGATTTATCGTAAACATTGTATTGTGGTTCGTGCGTCAGATGAATAGACAGCGCCACAGTCTGATCTATTATGCTAATCATTTGCAAATACATCCAAGGCACGGCGCACTTAGGTTTCCTCTGTGAACGTACGCGGAAGTTAGCAAGATCGTTAGCGAGTTTAAGCAAGGCTGCTACGTGCCGAAAATACGTTTTTCAAATAAAGAAGTCTACGATCGATTCACTTTCAATACACGATTACGAGGCTCGTTCTCTTTTGTCATTTTCGTGTCGCGGTTCGAACGTGAAATTAACCAACTAGATTTATACTCACGGAAATTGATCCTAGGGCGAGAGAGGCACTGGCCAGTAAAAACGATATTGTGTACACGAGAAGAAAGACCGCCGCTGTTTGTGCTAAGATTTTTATTCCAAAATTAGTGTCACGAGATTCGTTGGAAAATCGCTAACGTTCGTTTTAGAGCCTACCTTTCTTTTTCACTTGCAAGTTTCGTAAAATCTGCATCCAATTCAGGCCGAACACACCCCAATCGTCCACGCAATCGAAGAAATCATTATCTGTCCCTCTTGAGAAATAATTGCTCATGAGCAAATTTATCATGAGTATAGATAACGACTAGAAGAGTACGGAAACAAAATGAAAGTGGTAACGTTCACATTCTTTGTAAAAACGAATTCGAGAAATAATTGAATAATAGTTTTCCTTTCGGTAATATACGTGATAACGAATTTAACGTTCCGATACGATTGTTTGTCACTCACCATCGTGTAGGTACTGATGAGCCTTGTGGCTAACGGCAGACCGATACAACACAACTTCTTCATGTCGAATTGTTAACGTCTTGATACGATGAACAACGAATACGAAATGCTCGAACGAGTCGGAATGATCACGGTTTTCGTTACTGCGTCAAACGACACTTAACTGATACTTTGTAAAAAAAATGTAAACACACATCATGTTCGCAAGTAAATACGCGCTCGAATTTCGAAACAACGAAATATAGTTCCCGACTCGATTGATCTGCGTATACTTCTTCGTAAACCTGCGCTCGAATCATTACACAGTGTATCGATAATATCTCTAATCGATAATAATTAAACGCGCTAGAAGGACGAAGCATGACATTATTCTGTTTGATTATCTGCACGTGATACAACGATGGCTATAACAAATATGATTACCTTATTGAAGAACGTATACTTGGAAACACGAAATATGGTAATAATAATATATGTATTTCAGGAAATATGTTTTATTAAATTTTTAATCCAAGTCAAACATAGATTAGAGCTTCGACGATAGCCTCGAAGCCAGCCGCGCGCTACCTTCTGCGCATGCTCGACAGTGACTGAACCAGTCGAATACAAATGCATGCTTGACATGTGCTCCTAGGTTAGGTTTCGTGTTTCTGTATATTGTGTTTACGTTTTTAACAATTGTAAACGTGTGCAGTGTTTTTTTTTTTATAGTGAAGACTAGAAAAATTGACAGATCCAAATGACTGTACAAGATATGGATATTTACTTGAACGTTTCTACAGATCCTGTGGGCAACAAGGTAGGTGAAAGGTTAATAAAGTTTGTGCAATTGGTATTTTAATAGAGAATTGTATTCTTTGAATAGAAAACAGGAATAGAAGATGATTCTATTCTTAGTTTCATGAGGAAGCAAAAAAATGCAGTAACGAAAAGTAAATCAGATACAAAGAGTAAATCAGAAAATGTTTCTGTTAAGGAAACTAGTAATACTAAAAAAAGAATTAAACAAAAGTCTTTAAAACAAATTGTTGCACAAAGATTGCAAAAGTCTAGTACACCCGATAACAGTCAATCTTCTATTGAACGAAATAAACTAAAGACGCAAGTAAATATTAAGCATAAGCAGTCACAACGAGAAGTATCGAAAGCATCTACAGAAATACATAAAAGCGATAGAGAAAAAAGTAACAAAACTGAAGAAACTTCCAATGAACCTATTATTTCATTCACTAAAGTTACCAAAGAAAATTTTGGTAAAACATTATTAGCAAAGAGGAGAAATACTACAGATAGAAATTCTAAAAAAACACTGTCTAGCATTTTTTCTAAGTCATCAGAATCTGAAACGAAAGATGTTAGTTTGTTAAATTCGTTAAGAGGTGTAAAAGAGGAAAAACAAGTTATACCTAAAAAGAAAATTAAAAAGATATCCGAAGAGGAATCTAAAAAAGCTTTCGATTCATCGGAGAAAGTAAATCTTGGGAAGAAAAAGAAGAAAAAACAACCAGAGAAATTGGAAATTGAAAATAATGGAAAGGTAGAAGATAAAAAGAACACAAATGTTTCTCATAAATCTATTGGAAAAATATCTTCCTTATTTGGGCATAATCCAGAAATACCAAATATTGGACAAAGATTAGTAAAACCAATAAATGAGCCAGTATTTACAGGAACAACCTTTACCGATCTTGATATTAACCCTTTCATGGTTAGTATTATCTATTTATAATACACAAACAGCGTCTTTAGTATAATAATATGTTTCGTTAACTGTGAAAATATCTCACCAGATATCTAATTTGGAACAAAACATGCGTATCACTAAAATGACCGTAGTTCAACAAAAAGCAATTCCACAAATACTTTCAAGAAAAGATGTTCTAATCAGATCTCAAACTGGTTCTGGAAAGACATTAGCATATGCTTTACCCATAGTTGAATGTTTACATAAAATCAGACCTAAATTAAATAGAAATAGCGGTTTAAAGGCTCTTGTGGTTGTACCAACTAGAGAATTATCATTACAAACTTACGAGTGTTTCTTGAAATTGATAAAAGTAAGTGCTGTATCTGAAATTACTTATTAGACGCGTGAACACATTTTGATTCATTTTCAAACGATTTTAGCCATTCACGTGGATCGTACCAGGTTATTTGGCAGGGGGTGAAAAGAGGAAAGCAGAGAAAGCTAGGCTACGAAAGGGGTGCAATATCTTGGTCGGTACACCGGGTAGATTGTTAGATCATATAAAACGAACGGCAGCTTTAAAATTGAACGACGTTAAATATTTCGTTCTAGACGAGGCGGATAATATGTTCGATATGGGATACGAAAAAGATATATCCGGGTACGTTACTTTAATTAAAGTCACAACGATACATACGAACCAGTCTATAAAAGGTAAACGTTTTTTCTCTATAATAAAATTTCAGTATAGTGAGTGCTTTGAAGGTGACAACTCCAAGTCAAAATACGGGATACGATGCCATGAAAATGTTACGGGGAAACATAAAGAAGGTTTTCACCGACGAAGACTTGGATCGTATAGAAAAGAATGAGGATTTAAAAGAATCAAGAGACGATGACCAAGGAGATTCAATCGTCAAGCCAAACAAGAGCACAGATTCAGAATCTGAGCGTGATTGCTTCGAAGATAAACAAAAACAAGTGTATCATTCGAGCAGCGATACTGATTCCGATCAAGGCGAGCCTTATATTAAATCAAAAAAATCAGATAGGCGGAAAGTTTGCAGAGATTTTACCGCAAAAAACGAATCTGACGTACGAAAAGATAAGACGCAAGAGAAAGAAGATAATAATAGCAGTCAGGATGAGTCAAGAAGGCAGACAATTTTACTTTCCGCAACATTGACACAGGCGGTAGAAAAATTAGCGGGTCTTGCTATGGATCGTCCGGTGTTCATTGATGCCGCGAAAGAGAATTTAGAAACGACCGGTGTCGACGAGAGTGAGCTCAACGAGGATTTAGTGGTCCCACAAAGCGTGAATCAAAGCTATATCGTTACCCCTCCGAAACTGAGGATAGTGACCTTAAGTGCATATATCGCAGGAAAGTGCAAGGTAGATTTGCCATATCAGATTATTTATTCTTTCATCTTACTGAAACTATCACAAATATTGTTCTTGCCATTAACAGAGCCACGGTCAACACAAAATATTGATATTTATGGCTACTCAAGATATGGTTGATTATCACGCCGAGATTTTATCGTCGGTATTAACTAAACCTATCGACGAAGATGACGATGATTCCGACCCTTTGGTCGACGTGGAATTCTTCAAATTGCACGGCAGCATGAGTCAAAAAGAGCGAACCGAGGTGTTTAAAACTTTCAGACTGGCAAAAAGTGGGGTGCTGCTTTGTACGGTGAGTAGCGTTCTATGTAATACTAAAATCTAGACATTTTCAATTGTTTTGCAACGGGTTACGCGGGCAGTAAAAGAAAATCATGCGATGACTTTATGAAAGAACGACGAAACCGTTCTGCGGGAGAAAAAATTATTATAAAAGAGTGGGAAAGGAGAGAAGCGGAGAAAGAGAAGGAAAGAGCAGAAGAAAAGCTAGGGATACCGGCGGCACTCCCCGAGCAGTAAATTACCCCGTGGCTTATTCTTTCAGGGCGGAATTTAATATCTCTGGACCCACGCTGTGTCCGGAGGTTAAAAATTATGCGCGCACATGAGGCCTTCGTAACGAGTATAATTATGATTGTTTGCCCGTTATGTGCCAGCCCCTTCTTTAATTGTTTTCTACTTTTAAACAGCGAATGCTTACATTAATGATACTTCTCGTAACAGGGAGATTTGATCGGGAAAGTGCTGCAAAGAATACTCGCGATGACTTCTAATTTTGGAACGCGAGCATTGGCCTGAAAGGCAACGCGTTATTTCCTATGTATTATCTCGGAGAACAACGCGATGTTGCGCTTTTCGATCAGCTAGACAACTTTCTTTCGGTTACTAATTGCTATTCGTAGTACAATTAATCGTGTATCGATACAGTGGATCAACTTTCTGTTATATCGTGACTTCACGACAACTGCTTAATCATTATAATTACCGGTGAAAGTGATCGATCCTGGCGTCCGATAAATATCGTTAAAAAATGCAGTAATAATTAAATTCATTAACGTTTACTTTGCAATTCCCTTCCTTGGCAGTTAGCAGGAATTTAAAGCGCCACTTGGACGAAGAAAAAGGAAGAGATCATCAAAGTGCAGCGGAATGCACGAATTCTAAAATTCATGATCCGCGACACGCAACAGTATTACACATTGCTCACCGCGAGGATTAATTTCTTTTAATCAGGCGATTGCATCGTTGATTCAACACGTGTTTCACGGTACTCGCAATAGCCTGCCATTATTTCTTCTACCTTCTTCGTTATACTCTATACAAAGCGATTAATTGCTGTCAGGATTCTCAAACGATCGGATTAAGGAGCATCTAATGGAAAACGAGAACTTTGTCTCGATATTGTTCGCCTTTGTCAGAGAATTTCGGCGCTTTACATTCGAAAGGTAGAAACACGCTGATCCCAGAGAGCATGAACAACGATGGCAGCCGCCCACATTTTACAGCGTCACTTGAACGAAGATTCTATGGCAGCATTATTAATTTCCACGTTGAAAACTCACGAGAGCCCCCGCGGATGGAATGTTCCGCGGCTCTCAGCGGTGGTGAATCCGGATCCACGAGGTGATCTATGGTCCGAGTGAGATGTTTTGAGCGGACGATCCGTTCTCGATCCTCCGAGCCACGATCGCGGCCTCTCTCCTAAACGATCGTTTGTCTTAATCGCTGCCATCGATCGCTCCTCGTCCCTGTTTTCGTTACATTATATCGCACCGGTGGCAGCTGCGGTGCTTGTTTCATCTAAAGATACGTGGGCGTCCCCGGCCGATTTCACTTTATCAGACTATCTTTCGCTCGAGTTCTAATCGGACTTGTTTATATCCGTCGATCAATTATCGCGATGTTAAAATATTCCTTCTCAAGGAAATTGCTAGATCGTTTTAGATAATATATTTGTAAAACGTTTATCGATAGAGGAATGCTGCTATAATTAGCAGCGAAAAAAAGGGGGGGGCAGAGAAACCCGCGACGATAAAACACCGATCGTCGGCCGGTATTTTATTTCCATAGGGCAAACTTCTTTCTCGTTTTCCTTCACCCCGGCGCCTGGACCGTTGCGTCGTGGCTCGGCGTCGAATTAATTCGATAAAAAGATATAAAAAGGAGGAAGACAGACACATCCGTATCGTGCCGCGAAAGAATTTTCGGGGCCACGACGCCCCCCACTGGTGGTCCGGGATTAGTCTCCAGGGTCGTCAAGCAGAAACTCGATGTGCTTCGTTCGGTAAATCATTGGTTAACCGAACGCAAGGAAATCAGGGCCGTGCTCAAACGTTCGCCGTTGGGGTTCCACAGCGGGCGCTCGCTGCCAGCCGCGCGCATTCACCTTCGTACAAAACGAGAAATCGACACGGTTTGTAAGACATTTGTACCAGCAGATCGCACGCTCACGGTCCTTGCTCTTGCCTCGCGGATTATCGAGGAACAAGATGTTCGGATCACCGGACACCGGGGACCAAAACTTTTCCCTGTCCCGATCTTTCTTAACCGCGCTTTCAATCCCGAAAATCGATCACACGCTCGGTTCTCGTTATCCAGGATGTCGCAGCCCGAGGTTTGGACGTGCCAAAAGTGGACTGCGTGGTTCAGTACACGGGACCGACGTCGGCTAGGGACTACGTGCATCGAATCGGTAGAACCGCGCGGGCTGGTTCTTCCGGTTCGGCGACGATCTTCCTAACACCGCCAGAAATTGAATTCGTACGAATGCTCGAGTCTAGACGTATCAGGATCAGACAGGAGAACATGGACGACGTCTTGGATAAGCTTCTGGGCCCCCTGTCCAAACATTCCTCGGTTCATAACGCCGCTATTGCGCTGCAGAATGAATTCGAAACCATGGTGATCGAGGACTCGAAGCTACGGGAAAAGGCGTACAAAGGTGAGTCGGATCTTTGAATACGCTAAATAATTCGGTAGACGCGTGCAACGAGGGTAGAAGTTTAACGGAAAGACGAATGGACTTTATGGTTTTACGCTTAACGCGATTTTGATTTTAACCTTCGCCGCGATGAGACGCAAAGTACTCGTGAAATTTAGCGAAGGATGAGGGAACACGCACTTCGATTCAGTTGGATCGGAACGAAAGCGAGCTGACTTCGGGGTACGCTAAGCCAATTCCAGCAGGCACCCTATTCGCATATAAAGTAACCCCTCACGCGACCACGTTACCGAGCCTTCGCTCTGTCTCGGCTTTCGTTTGCCACTTGGATATTTACATACTCTCTGGATGAGGAAGGATGATCTTGTTTGCCATGCTACGGTTCCTCTATTAGAGTCGTTAGTCTGACGAATTTATTTGCCGCGATAATAAATCTATTGGGTCGCGATGATTCGAGTTGCATTCGAGGGGTGTGCTGCTGTATTTATCCTTATGCTCGGCTATCGTGGCCATACTTTATGCTATAAAACTGCAGTTTTGGCATGCCAGAGAGAAAGAGAGAAAGAGAGAGAGAGAGAGAGAGATATCCAGTCGATAGTCAGCGTTGCTCGAGGGTGATCGATTCCAAAACGAAAAATAAAGGCCATAAATCTTTCTAAGAGGTTTTTGAATTTCGTAGTTGTATCACGTCAAGCGTGGCTTTACACGAAGGTTAGCCACGGTTTTTGAGCGCTTAGCCGCCTCCAGATTTGAGTGACGGTACACAGTTAACCACTTGACCGTTCCTCTACGTGCCCCGGGTGATTGATAGATTAATTGTCGTTGATAATTCGGCGCTGCACTTTCCATGGGGGTGCGATGTGACAGAGAAATAGAGAAAGGGCGTGGAAGCAACAGACGAACACGAACGAGAACTGGTTGTAATTCCCGAGTAAAAGCGTAATTTTATTTTCGCAATCACTCGAAAAATATAAAAATAAAGAAGCAAAAGTATCAAGCAGCCTATAGTCATATCTCCGTTCTTCGCAACCCTCAGAATTTAATTCGTGACCGATGTAGGGTCATGGCAGGGTGCGTAGAAGTGGAAATCTTGCTAATTCGTAACATTATCACCCCAATAGAGCCGAACAGCCCTCAATAGCGAACACAAGTCCATGGAACAACCCCCTGGTCTTCCACCACCACCACTAACCAAAGAGATTCATCCACTCCACGCCGTATATATGTGTCGTCCTTTATACCAGTTCTCACCTATAGTCTTTTCACTCTAACTTTGGTAAATATTCTCGATAGACCACGGCCTCTATTAAACATAGAAATTTATAATTTTCCTTACTTGTTTATATTTTTGATGTTCATATTTGCAACCTTAAACTCGATAAAATTGTACACCGTAAATAATATACATTTTTCTTTTTTTTTTTTTTTT